TAAATTTTACACTTTTGAATGTAAACAAAAATTATATCAGCTGTTCGTCTAACTTGCAAGTTTCTGCAAATTTTCTGTTCGAGTACTATTTTGGATATTTCTCTCTTGTGAGAGAACAGATGACATTTCGCCAGAATTTGGCAGTTGGTTGGTTTTTACTGGAGATTTTAAACGAACGCATCTATTTTATCCAACCAAAAACCTTTTTATATATACGGGGAAACATACGACACCAGCTTGCTGGCTCCATCAAGTGATTGTACCCAAGACCGACAGAATACAAGATTGCGCTGATTGATGTGAAATTTGGGAGAGTAACGTGAATATTACGTCATCGCAGATTTTCCGGTGAAGAGAGCTGAGAAAGATATATCAGTATGTATATGTTTTGCATATGTACATGTATATGTATTTCACACAGACAATACACAAAATCTCCTATGACGTCATATTTCTGTCAAAATTTTCAAGAGAGAGTTAGCGGTATCACAATCAGCGCCACCTTCTGTATTCGTTTCACCATGGATTGTACCATCAGGCTAATAACTTAACATCATGCTGGTACAATATTTATTTCTTTACAAATGAGGTCGAGGAAATATCGAAATGATTAGAGCCGAAATTTCATAATTTTGCTACCATTTTGTTAAACATTGTTTTTTTTTTTTTAATTCACAATTGCAATATCGTGAACTTAATCTTCCACAAACACGGCTTTGACAGTACAAGAAATTTCCGCCAAAACACTTTTTACTTAGAAAATTGAGCTAATTTCACCACTCACGACACCAGCATGCTGGTACAATCATAAAATTTTAAAATAGTTTTTGAAGTCGCACCAGCAGCTGGTAGAATCACACCACAAGAACATACACGGTCAATCGACTTGATGGGCCGTAAACTTATCTATTTTAAACTATAGTTAAATCGTTAATAGATAAGTTAACAGCCCTAATACTTTTACAGTATGTATGTATAAAAACGTAAGGAGCATACAATACATATATGTATATACATATATCAGTCTTTCTTAGTTCAAAAATTGATCTCTTACATAAATGAAAAAAAATGAGATCAAATTAAGCATATATGTACAACTTTTTCATGCGAAGTATGAATAAATTCTCCAAAGGGCTAAAAAAAGGGCTAGGGGAAATTTTAAATTTATGTGGCCAAAAAAAATATGTGGTAGCTAAATCTAGCCAGCAAAGGGCTAAAACGGCAGCACTGCTTGTATATCGTTTTGCTCGCGCTGCTCCAACAGTCAGTTGCACTGGCTGAGTGAGCAAAGCGCTGGCGTGCCCTTCGAGAAATTTGAGGTTAGAGTCCTCGAACAGCGGAATTTTTTTTTCTTTTTTAATTGAATTTTCTTTTAATTCTTAGATTTAATTGTTTTCAAAAGAAATATAAGTATGTATATATTTTAGTTGCATTTAATTTTTAGACACTTATATAATTTTTTTATTTTTTATTTTTAATTTAACTGTTTTGTTTTAACAAGAAAAATATTTTTTTAATTTAATTTAATATTTAGAAACATTTTTTATCTTGCCTTAATTAATTCTTTTTTAAATTTAATTTTTGTTTAAGTTTAAGATTTTATTATGTTAAAGAGAAAAAACAAATATTTTTTTTTTTATTTCTTTTAATTTGTATTTTATATATTTTCTGTTTTTAAAAGCTTATTTTTTTCATTTTAATTTTTATATTACATATATGTATTGTTTAAAAAAAAAATTTTTTCTTTAGGTTTTAGGAAACTATTTTATTTAGTTTTTTTAATTATAATTTGTTTCTTTTACTTTTTAGATTATACTGTTTTAAAGAGGAAAAATATTTTTTAACTTCGTTCAATTTAAAGAAACTATTATTTAGTTTTTTTTTTTTTGTATTAATGTTTTTTTTAATTAATTTTCCTCATAGTTTTAGATTTCATTGTGTAAAAAAAATATGTGTCAAAATTCATTTAATTTTTAGGAACTTATTTCATTTGTTTTCTGTTACTTAATTTAAAGTGGTATATTATATTATTTTAAAAAGAAATATTTTAATTCCATTCAATTTAATTTTTATTTTTATATCGTTATATTTGTTCTTTTCATTTTAAGATTTATGTAACTCTTTTAAAAAGGAAATAACATTTGTTTTAACTATGTATGCACATTTAATTTTTAGAAAAAAATGTTTTTTTTTTTTGTAACTAAATTGTTTCCTTTTATAATTTCTTTACTTTAGATTTTTGATTTCATTGTTTTAATAATAATCATCTTTGTGCATTCATATTTTTTTATTTTAGTTTTATTTTTTTTTAAATACATTTTTTGATTTTATTGTTTCAGAAAGAAAAATATTTTTTTTTTAATTTTATTAAATTTTTAGGAACTTATTTTTTCTTTATTTTTAATAGTTTTTTATTTAAATATATTATTACTTTTAAATTTTACTGTTTAAAAAAATAAATTATTTTTAAAAAATTTGTTTCTGTTTTTTAATTTCTCTTTTTTAATTAAATATTTATTAACTTTTAGATTAATTACATATTTAAAAAAATTAAATTCATTTAGTTTTTAGAAAATTATTATTTTCTTCTTTTAAATTATTACATATTTATTTCTTTTTAATTAAATTTTCTTGTCTTTTAATTTTTGGATTTCATTAGTTCATATTTTCAATATCATTTGATTTCTAACAACTTATTTAATAATTTCTTTTAATACATTTTTTTTTTAATTTAATTTTCTTTTAATTTTTAGTCTTTATTGTTTTTAAAAGAAATATATATATATTTTTATTTTCATTTAATTTTAAGAAAACTTATTGCTAAAAGACAAACAGAATAACAGTAAGACCTACTCGGTGGCAGATCTTTCAATAAGTTTTTCGAAAGACAGAAAAGAGCTTTGTAGGTAATTGCTAGGATTTACAATTGCCTTAGGAAAGACTTTTGTTTTTCGAACACTGTGGTGAGATGATAGATCGTTGCCAGAATTGTCCTGTTAGTCTTCGTATTCTTATATATGTCGCGTTCGTATTCGTCTTTGTTTTTGTATTCGCATTTGTATTGGTCTTCGTATTCATCTCGTGTTCGTATTCATCTTCAACTTCCTAATCGTCTTCCTCGATGTATTCGTGATCGTACTAGCATTCGCCTTTGTGATCGTCTTCGTATTCATATAAATATCGACGGCTGCAAGTTCGAAAACGCCATACCTCAGAAAACTTTTGAAGAACTTCTTATTTCATAATTTGATTGAAAAACGCCCTATTTTAGAATTCGGTTCAAAAACGCCCTATCTCAGCTACCGATTCAAAAGCGCCCTATCTCCACATATTTTCAGTTGATATAGGGCGTTTTTAAACCAAATTCAAAGATAGGGTGTTCTTAAAAAGTTTTCTGAGAAAAGGCGTTTTTCAATAAAATTATAAAATAGGGCGTACTTCAACCAATTTCAGAAATACTAGGGCGTTCTTGAAAAGTTTTCTGAGATAGGGCGTTTTTGAACTGACTGACGAGATAGGTCGAAATTCCGCTCAGCCGTCGATGTGCCAATTTTAAAGCTATTATCAACAGCAAGAAAAATTTCATCGTTGCATCATGTTGTTGAAAAATCGATGTATGTTTCGGGTTCATCTTCGGGCTCGGCTCAGTCTTCGTGTGCCTTCCCGCTAGAGTTCAATCTCAACCTTCTTTCATATTCGTTCGAAAGTACAGTCCGGGATCACACACACTGCACAACAGCGATGTGGTTTAATCCTTGGGCGTGCGTACAGAAAACAACCAGCGCCATCCTTGATGACAATCGGATATAATTCAGCAGGATATAACCGTCCCAGTCTTCTAGCTGGCATTCTGCAATATCACAGGAAATATGCCATCTGTACACGGTAACTTTTGCGAAGTGTTTAAAGCAACTTTTCACAATAAGTGAATATGTAGTAAGTATGTATACTTATATGAAAACAATTTTTCTGATATTTTTTATTGTATAATATGGTAATAGTAAATGTAATTTATCGCATATATGTATGTATGTATAGTAAGTACATTTTTCATTATTTATTTTGTATTCAAAGGTACGTGTCTTTATACTTTATGTAGCCTCCCCGGTCGCCGAACCGTATCCGGAATCAACTTCACCGAACCTGCCTGCCTGACGTAAAATGTCCTGATCGATGCCATGTACTAAGAGAGCTACTTCCAAATTGAGCTGGGCGGTTTCTTCTTTAAGTTTACTGATGGCTTTCTTTATGTTCACCACGGAGCCTATTTATGTTAAAAAATTATAAGCATTGATGAAACCGTTAGTATTAATCATCTTTTTATAAAATGGTTGTCCATATATGTAGTAAGTACAAAAGTAGAATTATTCAATACTCACTGCCATCTGACATTGATTGGCCTCGTCGCTCCATTTCACTCTTCTTAATGTCATTCTCCTGTAACACAGAATTCAATTGCTCTACCAGCGCTTCTGTGTCGGTTTGAACCTGTGTTTGCGCATGCTGCACATTTGATAATTCAATTGAGATTTCCTTAAATTGACGCACAAATGATTGCAGCTCGTTATTCAAATGCTTTTCACGACTTTCGATCTTCTCCAAACTGAAAGTGAACTCGCTGTGTAGCTTCTTCAATTGCGTTTGAGTATCCTCAGAGCTCTGGAAAAAAAGTATAGAAGTACTTATGGACATAGGTATGAATGTATGCATGCGGGATGTCCTAGACCACCCGTCCACCCCCTTTAAAATGGACGGAAATGTCTTTTATTGAAAATCGCAAAAATGCTACCTACTAAACCGGGGATGCTCTATATTTTTGGTAGTATTATCGACTTCCGGTTTCGACCGTAAGTGGGTTAAACTGACCGGTAGTCCATTTTTAGATATTAGATATGCATATTTATAGTACGGATTCGCATTCTAAGGATAAAGATACGTAAGTTTTGTTTGAAGCTTTTTCCTCAGAAGCGCCGTTTTCAACCCATTATTGACCTTCGAACTTCAACTCGTCCTGGTGGCCAATGTAATTGTAAAGTGAAAATGAAAAATTCAATATCAGTGAAAATTTTATTTTTTCATTTTATCGTTTCGCTATTCATTTTAAGCTATTCTCGATCTATAAATACTATTCCATTAACATCTAGCAAGCAATAATTTAGCAAATTATTGTGAGCTTAAGATAATGATATTCTTTATCTCAAGATGATGGTTTTTAGAAAATCGCCCAACTATTCTTTTTCACATTCACAAAACTTTGTGAAAAAGAGTTTTGACCGTGAAAAATTATTGACAAATTAATTTATTTACATTTGAAAACAGAATCGTAGTTTTATGTGAAGTGATGAAAAATGTTTTCACTTCACGTATTCACAGAACAGGAATTGGCCTCCTGGACTTCTAAAATGGACGAATTTGTTTTTATTGGAAAATATGTACTACCAGTCAAGATTATTTCCCAAGTAATTTTCTGCTTAGAACTCGAGCTCCAGCTTAGAACTACGGCAAGATATTTAGGCTTTTCGCGGTTAAGTACATGAAAAACGGCTTTAATGGCCACTTCATTTTCTTCCATGCCTACGGAGACTATTCGTACCGATTTTGGCGGGACATATGAATATTTTTTAAGAGTCGAGATTTTTCATATGTTTTTAGTTTTTTCTTTATTAATTTAATATGAGTCTCCCTGTACTCTGGCCCAAAAACAATTTTTCGTACAAACGTGACAGCACCTTCGTTATCACGAAGGACCATAGTTGCCAACTTGGTGCTTTAAGCACTAGATTTAGTGCTTTTTGAAAATTAAAACGCCAAAAGAAATGGTTTAGTGCCTAGTGCCTTTTTTAGTGAACTCAGATTTCTCAAATGTATATAGATATAGAAATATTTATCGGTTCTTGTAGATTTTTTGGTGCTGAATCTAAATCTGGATGCAGAATTTTTCCAGCACGTCAAAAGATATCCTAACCTCAAAGTGTCAAAAACACGGGTTTCGCGATATTTGAGGTTATATTATGAAAAAAAAAATTTTTTTACTCATTTCTAATTAGGGCAACATTTAGTATTACTCTTCCCCTTTAAATTTAATTTTCGTTTGTTGCGATTCGATATTTCTTTCTCGTGATATACTAGTTTTAATGTGCAGTACTTTGGTATTATTTCGTAAGCATGAATCATAATAGCATGTGAAGATGCTATTCAATCGTTATGAGCGAAAAAGTTTTGAATATTGTTCATTTTTTTACTTTTGTTAAATACAAACTGTTATGAAAAAAGTATCTTTTGATAAAAAAAAATTTAGTGCTTTTAGTGTGGTAAAACGCTTTTCTTTCCAAGTTTTGGTGCTTTTTGAAATTGAAAAGTTGGCAACGCTGCAAAGGACATAGAATATTTGGTTATGTTTTATTATGTCCAACTGGTACTCTCGCTATACATATTGCAGTCTTTCATGCTTGTCTCGAGTTTTTTAAAATTTTTAAAATTATTATTTAAGGTTTCTTTAATGAAACGATTCTAACTTGAATTAAATGAAATTATAAAACATAATACTAATTCCCTCAAAAAATCATGGATATGAAAAATATAAGCTGTAGATACAGTGGCGAAAATATAAATAGGTAAGAGACATTTTAGCATTCTTTGGCTTATTTAATGCTTATATTGTTTTAAGAAAGTGTAACTAACTAAAATTCAAACTTTGAGCTTTTTAATTAGATTTCTTAGAAACTTTCTGAGTACTTATGCAGTTTTGTAGCCCATTCGTTTCAAAGTGCAGAACGAATAAGATCACCCAGGACGGCGTGCGAGAAAAAAGTATTTTTTTTGCAGTGACGTCATTTTTTGCCGCCATGTGAATGAAGTAGAGCCAATTACAAAATTACGTCATCAATTTTTTTCTCAAATGCAACCGGAAGCTGTTGCTCATTTTCTCCGTACAAAGAAATTGTTGGACATACTTTGTATGGAAGAAAATGCGCGAACAAAAGATTGCCAAAAAACAACGGTAAGTCCAAGCTACTTCAAACTTGCACTTTATTATACTAAAATTTAATGGACTATAAAACTGCATGCAAACAATTCTAGAAAATTTTATAAAAAAGTTTAAAATTTTATCAACATTTGTTAAAATTCGTCGAATTTTATTAAGTTCTACAAAGTTTGAAATTTTGATTTACAAGTTTTTTTTGGATAATAAGTTATATTTTAATAAAAACAAATAATAAACAGTTTTTAAACAAAGAAAAGTAGCCAGCAATTTCTAAAATGTATTTTCCCTATTTATATAGTCGCCACCATATATATTTATAAGGGTCTTCCTTTAAACTCGTAAAAGCCTAGTAAACCTCGTAAAGCTCGTAAATTTACGAGCCTCGTAAAAGAACTGTCACAATTTTTGTGGAACTCTAGTTACGTGCCCCTCATAAAATTACGTGGCAAATTTGATGCGCAAATGACCTCGTAAACTTTAGTGTTGCCGAGGAGCGGAAAATTTTATACTAAAATGTATTACACACTATTGAAAACAAATGAAAAATAATAACATTTGAATAAAAAGAATGAATTTCATCCACTAAATGTACTAACATGGGTTTTCTGCTGTGGTTTGCAGTGCTTCATGGTCACTGGCTAGAATATATGTAATTTGATATTTGGCGCTATTTCCCGTAGGAAATGTAGCTTTCTGATGTAATAAATTTTCGCAGTCTTAGCAAAATATTGATGCATTATTTTAGTTCAGGGATGGACAAATTTTTGGCTCTTAAAGCCGTCAAAGAGCCAGCAAGTGCTACGCAAGTGATAAATCAGTTCTCAGGGTAAAAGGGGTGTACAAAATACATTAAAAGCATCATATATATTATTAATGAGAGTCAGAGTACAAGACATTTTAATACGCTCTTCTTCCCCCTTCATGCTGGCTCTTGATGTTACCCCTCATCTGACACCTAAATGTGCCAAGCCTCCTGGGAGCCACTTTGCCCATCTCTGCTTTAGTTAATTAGTTCAGCACTTAACTTAACCGAAAGTAATGGTCTGATTATGGAAACTTAACGTAACTTACGGCGCTCTCTTAAAAATTCTGTTAAATGGGTGTTGCTTATAATTGAACAGCCGAAACTTAACGTAACTTAATGCCACGTCGAAATCTGTTTCATTTTGATTCTCTAAGTTCTACGTTCCGTTAAGTTAAGTTAAGTTGCCATAATCAGGTTTTAACTCGCATTACAAGTTTGCTTTCTTTCTAGCCAATAACTCCAGAACGATATTTCTGTTACTTAATCTTAAGCAATGTTTAATGTTAAGCAATTAGTTGAATCAAAAGATCAACGAAAGTTGGCTGCCGGACGATTAGTTGAAAAACCGTTCGCACTACTCTACGCTCGCATTTGTTGAACAAAAAAGTTGAACAATGCAAACGCTGCCTTAGCTTACTTCTTTAGCTCATTTGAAATAACTAAATACTGCGAAAGATTTGTAGTTACCAAATCATGTGTTGATGGAAATATATTTAGTTGAAGTAGCTAACCACTTTGCTCAGTGTCTCATAGAATTGATCACTTACTTCTTCGATGCTCGCCTTTAGTGTCTCAATTTGGCTCAGATGTGTGCGCCAATCGCGTGCATCAGCTTTAACATAGACTTTCAAATGTGGCAATACACATTCAAGCTCCTGTCGCCATTGTTGCTGATCTATAAAACGTTCCGCCGCCGCATCGCTCTCTGGCAAGTCGATATTATGATTTCGGTCTGAGCGCCGAGTGCGATTTACCCAGACGAGATTTTTGAAACCACCAGCGCTATTCACTTCCATATCGCTGTCATCGCTTAGTGCGGCATTCTGTTCATCTTCTAGTTTTTCCAAAATAATTTCGGCATTATCCTCCAAGTAATCGGTGGCTACCTCATCTTCCTGTGCTATATGTGGGCGATTGTAAGTGATCTAGGTGAAAGTGCGATATTTTAGTTACATATTTGGTGAAGGGTTTTAAGTGTGAATAATTTGTTTTCAATTTACCTGCGCTACTTTGGTTGCTTGTGTTGCGAGACTATCTAAAACTGTGAGGCAAGTGGGGCCTGCGCCACGTATTAATTTATTGGGTGGAGAATCGATGTGTATATCCTGCGTGAACAGCAAACTTTTGAAGACAATTTGAATCGTTTTTTACTTAATTTTATCTTTACCATTTCATCCAGCATTTGCACAATTTTAGCAATCACTGTATTGGGGTCATCGAATTCCTGTGGTCTTTCCATTTCTTTGCCCAACTTTCGACATAACCACCAGCAAATGAGCGTAAACATATAGAATTGTTCGCCTGGGTTGAAGGATTTGACGAAGTAGAATCGCGACAGTGGCTTCATTTTAAATTCCTGCAACAGCTGCTTTTCGTAGTTTAGTACTTTCAACTTTTCGAGTAGATCATCCGATTGAAATGTAGTCACCGGCAGAGCAGCTAGTTCCTGTGGAGTAGCGTTCTCTCCTTGCATTTTGTGCAATTTTGATTAATTTTTTCCAATTTCTATTCCTTTTCAATCAAGTGTGACGATAAAAACTAATAAAGTGGAGAAGAATTGCCATAGTAACGGCTTTACCAAACCAATCCTTTGTCGAAACGAATATACATGCATATACACACATATGTATATTTTATATAGTTACTAACAACTTGTTGCTGGAAAATTCATCACTAGATGGCGCCGAACAACTTTGTTGTCTAGGCTACAATAACACTGAACAGAAACCTGTGGAAACGAAATCCCGTAATTGATGGTGCAAGCTTCACCAGTAGATGGCGCAATAAAAAGTACAATGGAAAATTGGTATCAGAGAATGTTAATTTAATGAGAAGGCGCAAATGTTAAGTAACATTTTTTCAAGTACTAATTAGAAGATCTGAGATATGAGAGTTCACCACTGAGATCAAGGAGTTCGCCACATCAATTTTAACTACCATCAGAGAACTTAGATAGATAGAGAAGGTGCAAATTTTTGGAACGTA